TTATGTAAATATGAAAATTATATAAAATAATTGATTAGAGAATTTTCGCATTATGTGAGAAAACTCTCTGTGGCAGCGAAAAATTTTCAAATATTTATAAAAAATCGAAATAACCGATTAGTGTAAAAATTTTTGCTTATAATAGAAATGGACATGCAAAAGTTTAAGAATTACAATGATTCGATAGATGATTTTTGAAAATAAATACAAATTTTAACGATTTTAGGAAATTTTTTTTAAAACTCAGTAATAATATTGATAGAAAAACGCGAATAAAAACTAATTCAATTATGAAGTATTATCATATAATGTAAATTTAAATGCTAAAGTATCTAAGTAATAACGTGTAAAAGGAATTTTTTGAAAATCTCTTTTCGTTTATTTAAAATAATTAAAAACATATGAAAACTTACCCACAAATTTGCACTAAATTCTTCTACACTTTTGCGTTTTTATTTATGATGACTTCTATAGGATTCTCAAAATGCTGAGGTAAGGCCACAAGCTATGTTATTCCACACATGTTTATACAACAAATTTCTATACATATATACGTGCATTGTGAAGTGTAATTTTCTAAAAGAAAAAAAGAAAACGAAAAGTGGAGAAAAAAATGTCTGATACTGCTGCTGTTGAAACTAGCGTATCTCCGGTTGTCGCCGCTGCCGCCGCTACTATTACATCGCCGTCGGAAAAAAAGATAAAAAAAAGTTCTGCTGCCGTTAAAAAAGCTAAAAAATCATCGACCGCACCCTCTCATCCACCAACGCAACAAATGGTTGATGCTGCCATTAAAAATTTAAAAGAACGTGGTGGCTCATCTCTATTGGCTATTAAAAAATACATTAACGGAACTTATAAATGCGATTCACAGAAATTGGCTCCTTTCATTAAGAAATATTTAAAAAGTTCAGTTGCAAGTGGAAAATTAATTCAAACAAAAGGTAAAGGTGCATCCGGCTCATTTAAATTATCCGCTGCAGCAACTAAAGATCCTAAAGGAAAAGCGAGTGGTAGTGGTAGTGAAAAGAAAGCTAAAGAAAAGATTGTTTCAGCTGTTGATAAAAAGAAAAAGAAATCCGTAACTGCTACAAAAAAGGGTGCTAGTGCAGTAAGTGAGAAAAAAAGTAGTGCTTCCATGGCTCCTAGTAAGAAAGTGACAGCTGCTGCTGCTGCTGCTACGAAGAAGACTTCCGAAAAGAAGAAATCCGAAAAAGCGAATGTGAAAAATATCAAAAAGGTAGGCACAGTGAAAGCCAAACCGACCAAAGCTGCTATTAAAGCGACCGCAACCAAACCGAAGGCACCAAAAGCGAAAACAGCGACAATTGTAAAACCTAAAAAAGCAACTACAACTGTTGCTGCTAAAAAAACAACTATGAAGAAAATTGCCGTCGGCAAAAAGTAAATTTCTATTTCCATATATTTAGAAATGAAACAAAAGCCCTTTTTAGGGCTACAAATTCTTTTTTCAAGAGATTGAATTTACATGCATATATATATATATTTTTTTACAAGAGAAAAACAGCGCAATTCTATTTAAAAGAAAATATATATATAAAAGAAACCAAACCAAATCTTTATTTATTCTTATTTTCTGTCTCCCTCTTCCTCATTGATTTCGTCTTTCCATTTCTTTCTTTCGAAAAAACATTGAACATGCATTCTATCTCTTTTATGTAAAATTGATTAGGTGGCCCTTAAAAGGGCCGATTTTAATTTTCTTCTCCTAAATTACTTATTTCGAGCTGGTGTATTTGGTGACTGCTTTTGTTCCCTCACTGACAGCATGTTTGGCCAATTCGCCTGGCAATAAAAGACGAACGGCAGTTTGAATTTCACGACTTGTAATAGTTGAACGTTTATTATAATGAGCTAAACGAGATGCTTCGGCAGCGATACGTTCAAAAATGTCATTAACGAAACTATTCATTATACTCATCGCCTTTGATGAAATGCCAGTATCAGGATGAACTTGTTTCAGTACTTTATAAATATAGATAGCATAGCTCTCCTTCCTCTTGCGCTTCTTCTGTTTATCATTTTTTGTAATATTTTTCTGAGCTTTTCCCGCCTTTTTAGCTGCTTTACCACTGGTTTTTGGCGGCATTTTCACTTCACTATTTCCTTTTTGCTTACTTTGTTTTAGATTTCACAAACACTATATGCACTGTTCACACACAATCTGTAAAATTTTTATACAAATGTGGCGGTTAAGTGCTTTTTTATTTACGAATAATTCAGGTATAGAGCATACATCGGTTATATTCGTATATTGTTAAACGAA